TGGCACTGCAGCCGCCGCCGCCCGCAGCCCGCGCTGCCGCTCGCCCCGGCCGCGGTTCCGAACCCACCGAGACAGCCGCGACCAAGAACCGAACGCGGCCGCAGCCGGGACAGCCGAAAGACGAGGCTGAGTCCAGAGGGACAGAGCCTCATCCCTCAGCAGGAGAAACTGCACAGGAATAGCGTGATGGTGACAATACGGTCATGCCAATGAGCACTCTCCTGGCTGTATTTCCACACTCAGGAACTGTACCCCGCCGACATTGCTTCAGACAAGGGACATAGTGAAACAATTAGTCGTAGAATTTTGAGAAGTCAGGTCAGGGCTTTCTCAGAAAGAACGTCTCTACGAAGGATTCTGTCTCCACTAAAGGAGGTATGATGCTGTCTTTATTTCAGTCTAACTTTTTTTTCAGTTTCTAAACCCAGAGTCATGCCAATTTATATTGTTAAAATTTACACCTTCAGCCCAACAGAGTGTGTGGAAAGCTTTCCAAGAATTTCAGGCATCACAGATATTATTCAAACAACCAGTAATTCTAGGTGGGGTGGCATTCCTCTAGAGGAACAGGCAAGGTAATGCTCAAGCACAGTTCTGAGAACAGGAGAAAGGGCAAAATGGAGAATGCAAATGCTCTAACATATATGGGAAAGTCATATGAGTCTAGATCCAACAACAAAGCAATGAATTCTGTAACAAGAATGAGTAAGCAAAACACGAATTCCTTTTTCCAACCTTTTTCAAACTTTCAAATTCTTGATTTTGCCCTCAGAAAATTCTTTGATTTTCATGCCCCCAAAGATAATGAATAGGTTTTCATGACTCTGTACAGTTATACACTCCCCAAACACAGGTTGGCCTGACACTGCTATATTTCCAAGGAGACAGAACAAAAAATGCACAGTTATAGGCTAAATGAATATTTTTGTTATGCGTTTTGGTTTGCTCTGCTCTTCCATCGAAGGATCAAAACTCCAGTCTATTTTCAGGTAGAGCTGGAATTGCCTGCATTGCAATGGCTGGATGGGAGAAATTCAGCCTTTCAGTGGGCAGCACTAGTGAAGCACCTATGCACCATGGCCATACAGAGAGATATACTGAAAAGAAAGGGCAACATTCTGAGCTGATACATCTCGGATAGACGCATCCAAAACCAAGAATGAAAAAGTCCCATACTAATAGAACATTATGACATGGTGTTCAGAACTACCTTGTTTCTCTAGGCAAAAGGGATTTGTGTCATTACAGCCAATGTGAAATTTATCGATAAAACTGTGCCACTCAGCTAAAAAAAGAAGTCAAAGGTATGGTCTGAGAGCAAGGAACACAAGAGCAACGTTGGGAGTGCATTATTAAAGCCTATCAGAACGGGCTATGACAGAGGAGAAATAGATAATTGTCTGAGGGAGAGAATGAGAGCATCTTTTTTCCTCATTTGAGTTTTTGTGGTGGAAGACAAATTTTACACTGGCTAGGAATCTGCAGAAAAGTGGCTAATCCAATTGGGAATATATCATCTCTGGAGGAAAAATTGGCACATGCTGCAATGTTGATCCCCTCCTCCCATGGGATGTAAAGCCTCTGGGTGTGCAGAACCCATGTCAGTCAAAGGAAAGAGCGTTGAGATGTCCTGCAGAGAGAGTCCCAGCATTGTCTGGGGCCATGTCCTCTGTGCTGACAGGGACACAGGGGAAATCCTGCTCCTCAGCGGGGCCCTGGCC